GTGTGTGTGTTCTTGTGTTGTGTGTGTGTGTTGTGTGTGCTGTGTGTGTGTGTGTAGCGTGTGCGGTGTGCGTGGTGGTGTGTGTGTGTGTGTGTGCGTAAGCTGTTGTGTGTGTTGTGGTGGCTAGTTGTGCTAAGGCCACGTGCATATTTCGACGATGCAACAGACCAAAAAGGAAGAATCCTCTCCAGACACAATATAGACCTTTGACCCTTACCTGCGTGTTGCTGTGTGTGGTGAGATGAGAGAGAGAGAGAAAGAATGACACTTACCTTGGGTGGTGTATTGTTTATGTAACTGCCAAATGAAAGCGCAGTAGAGGGCAGAGATACATGACCCTTACACTCACACCACACACACACATACAGACAAAGGTTGCGACACTACATTTGGATCCCTGTTGTATATTTTACTCTATCTACAATGAAAAACAGAGCTGGACTTATCATCTTTCAGTAGCAGCAGATTTAGTAGTAAGATGTTGAATACATTACTAGTATTTCTGTCATTCATTAAAAAGTACTGGCTATTTGAGGAAGAAGTCTTTATTACATGCTGTGGGAGTTGGAACTTTGGCTTCCTAGTCTCTAACCCTTCTCATTTTTAATAACCTTTTGTGGAGACACTGTAAAGCCAAAAATAGCAGGAAAAATGTAAGACACACAACAAATCAATACAAAATAAATTAACTGCAAAACAGCCATACATATTATACATCAAACATGATAAATCCAAATGTTCAATCCTGTATAGCATTCAAATCAATATATCATTAATCAAATATTCCATCCACATTTCTCTAGTCACTGTTTATCGGCAGACCCCCCTGATCCTGTCACCTAAAAACAGGTCACACAATCATAGCATCATTAGCTTACAATATTCCGAGTTGGGAGAGTGTTGAATAAGAAAGACTAGGGCACACAGGTTGGATAAATAATGAATATTAATTTTTAAACATAATATTCATAACAAGGAGAGCAAGAAACAATTCTCTGAATAAATATATCACATTGACAATAATGCTGATAGTAAAATGATAATGATTTAAAAATACACTTAAATACATGGTTCTGTACTCTATAGCACCGTTTCTATCTTTCGACCAACGTCAAGCGCTGTACAGCTAACATGACCAGCACTCACCCCATTGTCACCACATTTCATACACTGCTGATGGCAGTGGCTGCCATACAAGATGCCAACTGCTCTTCAGAATAGAAACTAATCATTCACATCTCACTCATACACCAATGCACAGCTTTGGGTCCAACCTTCCGATTAGTGGTTGACCAGCTTGTTTCACTTTTTTTGTGGTTCTCCAAATTTGGTCCACAGTATGCATCCCATTCTAATATGTTCTCTGTTTTTTTATGTTAACTGCTCCATTAATTGTAACTTGTTCCATTAGGTCATTTCTTACATAAAGGCTTAGTTTCTGAAATCAGTTTGTTATCATCAATATTATAATAATAAACCCTGTTTATATAAAAGTGACTAAAGGTAAAAATACACACTATGCTATGTTATTCTACTGAAAGGATCAATTTAACACAGATGTTCGTCAAGCATACAGACTCCCTCCTGACAATTTTCTCCCTTTAGCCCTCACTCTCAGAAAGTATGTGTATAGTGTCCACAACCAATGTCTTTGTTAACAGTCCAAAACTCCAAAAGTATTTAGACTGACATGGAAGGAAAAAGTCCCACAATGTAAAAAAGTATAAAAATATATAAATAAAGTCTTTTTTAAAAATGATAATATAAATAAATAAACTTTATTCATTCTCCACTGACAAAAGTATGTCTCACAAGAGAAGAAGACTTATGTTTATACTGGGGAGACTCTACTTGATTACTTCAGCGTGAAAGAAGGAAAACCAACTGTGCCACTGTTAGCGTGCCTATCAGGGATGTGACAGCAATTCATTAATGGAGCAAATGAATGAAGACCAGATGTGAAAAACTCAATCTTGATTTGTATTCAAGATTTTACGAGAGGTGTCTGTTTCAGTGATTAGGTCTGAGCTGAGCTCAGTGACTTGTAAAGCACATTTGTGATAGAAAAGATATATTTGTATATATTATATTTTATGACCACATTAGGGATGCTAATGCACTCAGACCAGACACAGTATTAATGACATTTAATTTTGGATCAGCCAATCATCGACATTCTATCACATTAATCTATAATGGATCTCGAGCAGAATGCACGACTACACTGACACATGGTGCACCAGATCTGAATATGACACGTGACTAAAATCTACTAAAAATTCATATTTTTTGTATTGACCTTTGCATTGAATGTGCCTGTAGTTGAGAATCCAATGATTGTATGTTTGTATGAATGCAAGCAACAATGCTGCCGATGCCGTGTTGCCACGACCTCTCTCTCTCTCTCTC